AAATATTTTATTCTTTTTGATGCTATTGTGAATGGAATTGTTTTCTTAATTTCATTTTCAGATTGTTTGTTGCTAGAGTCTAGAAATACAATTTATTTTCATACATTCATCTTGTACCATGCTACCTTGCTGAATTCAAATATTAGCTCTGATAGTCTTTTTAGTGGATGCTGTAGGATTTTTTTTTAATGTACAAGATAATGTCATATGCAAATAGAAATGGTTTTGCAACTTCTTTTTTAATCTGGATGCCATTTATTTATCAATCTATCCATTCCTCTCTCTCTCTCTCTCTCTCTCTCTCTGTCTCTCTAAGTATTTGTCTGTTTTTGCCTAATTGCCTTGACTTGAACCTCCATCACAATATTGAATAGAACTGAGAGTGACTCTCATTGAGAATGGACTTCTTTGTCCTGTGACTGGTCTTAAAGAGAAACCATTCTGCCTTTTACCACATGGCAGGCAGAATAATAGCCCCCCAGAGCTGTTCATATCCTTATCCTAGAACCTGCAAATATATACCTTTGTACAGCAGAGGGGAATCAAGATTGCAGATTGCTAATCAGTATGTAATGGGGAGATTGTCTTAGGTTACCCGGGTGAGCCAAATGTAATCACAAGTCCTCAAAAGTAGAAGGGGGTAGCAGAGGAGGGAGAACCAGAGAGAAGGCAGTGTGAGATGGACTTGGCCCAGGGTTTTTTGGCTTTGAAAATGGAAGAAAAGGATTGTAAGCCGAGGAGTGTGGGTGGTCTCTAGAAGCTAGGAAAGGCAACGAAACAGATGCTGCTTTAGAGAATCCAGAAGGAATACAGCACTCCCGACATGTTGATTTTAGCCCAGTGAGATCTATGCCAGACTTCTGACCTCCAAAACAGTATGATAATGAACTTGTATTGTTTAAGCCACTAAATTTATGAGGTGACTGGGTGGCTCAGTTGGTTAAGTGTCTGGCTCTTGATTTGGGCTCAGTTCATGATCTTGGGGCTGCTTAGGATTCTCTTCCACTCCCTCTCCTCTTCCCTTTCCCTCTTTCTCTCTCCCTCAAAAAAAAAAAGCCACTAAATTTATGATAATTTGTTACAACAACAATGGAAATTAATACTCACCATTAAGTACAATGTTAGGCATGGTTTTTTCCACTGATGTCTTTAATCAGGAAGTTCTTTTCTATTTGAGGGATTCTTCTTGCGTGTTTTAATTGAAATGGTTTTGGATTTTGCTAAGTGCTTTTTCAACATCTGAGATGATTATGTGGTTTTTGTCCTGTATTCTATTGACATGGTATCAGATATTAATTGAATTTTACATGTTAAACCAACTTTGATTTACTGAAATAAATCTCACTTGGTAATTTATCCTTTTCGTATGTTGCTGGATTCACTGTGCTGGCATTTTGTTGAGGACTTTTATATGTCTGTTTATAGGGTCTCTGGTTTATATTGGCCTGTGGTTTTCTTTTCTTTCTTTGTCTTTGATATCAGGAGAATCCTGGACTGAGAATGATTTGGGAAGTGTTGTCTCCTCTTCCGTTGTTTAGAAGAATTTGTAAAGAATGCGAATTATTATTTTAAGTGATAGAATTTCCCAGTGAAGTCATCTCTTTCGGAGTTCATTGAGCTTCTTGTACATGTATAATGTTTTTCATCAACTTTAGAAGGTTTTCAGCCAATTTTTCTTTGAATACTTTCCTGTTCCTTTTCCTCTCTTCTCTCTCTTGGTACCCCCATGATATGTATGTCCCACTTTTCTCGAAGGCTCTGTTCATTTTTCTTTGTTCCTTGTCTCTCTGTTCTTCTGATTACATAGTCTCTATCAATCTCCCTTCAAGTTTGCTCATGATTTTTGCCAGCTGAGGTCCACTGTTGAGCCCTTACAGTGAATATTTCATCTTGGTTATTATTCTTTCCAATTCTATAATTTTAGTTTGGATTTCAAAAAATATAATTTCTAAACTTTTATTGGCATTCTCTCTATAAAATATTGCCATCATACCTTCCTTTACTTCTTTAAGTATGATATTCTTATGAAAAAATTTTTATTTAAATTCTATTTAATTGGGCACCTGGGTGGATCAGTGGGGTAAGCCTCTGCCTTTGGCTCAGGTCATGATCTCAGGGTCCTGGGATTGAACCCTGCATCGGGCTCTCTGCTCAGCGGGGAGCCTGCTTCCCTCTCTCTCTCTGCCTGCCTCTCTGCTTACTTGTGACCTCTCTCTCTCTCTCTCTCTCTGTCAAATAAATAAATAAAAATAAAAATCTTAAAAAAAATAAATTCTATTTAATTAACATATACTGTATTATTAGTTTGAGAGGTAGAATTTAACATGATATTCTTTAGCTCTTGGAACATATTTATATAAACAGACAGGTGGATCGAACAGAGCAAAACCCTATATCCTGAGTGTATTTTGATCACTTTGTTAGAAGAAACTGCATCTCAAAATTGTAAAGAAAGAAAAACCTACATATATAAAAAAATAAAATTAAACACATTGAAAGGATAGCATGTAACTGTAAAGATGGAAATTTAAAAAGACTTTAACAAAACTAAATGAAGAAAAGGAAGGAGGAGGAGAATGGGGGGAAGGAGGAGGAGGAGAAAAGGGGGAGAGAAAAAAGAGAATATAATCAGACAGGTGAAGAGAACAGAGCCATACACCAGATTCTGGGTGTATTTTGGTCTGTTAGAAGCAACTGCATCCCACAGTTGTAAAGACAGTAAAACATAATAGTAGCTGCTTTGCAGTCTTTGTTAAGTCTGACATCTGGGTGCTTTCAAAGGTACTTTCTGCGGCCTGTGTTTTTCTTCTGTATGGATCACACTTCTGTTTCTTAGCATGTCTCATTTTCTGCTGTTGTTGGAACTTAGAGATTATACTGCAGCCACGCTGGGACAGTGACTCCTCCATGGCTCCTTCTTGGGCTGTTTGCCTATATTGTCTGCTTGTTTCATGCCTTGGATGGACTATGTCAAGAAAGTCTATTTCCCTCCATGTGCAGCTTCCAACAGCACTCCACAGGAGCTGCAGACTTGGACAGTGAGTGATCCACTGGGATGACATGGTTTTCATCAGGGTTCTCTTTGGCTTTCTCTGATCTCTCTGTTAAGCTCTCTGCCTCTGTTGGCATCACGCAGTTCTTAACCTTCACCAATTGCAGGCTTAGTGACTGTTACTTTCAATAACTCCTGGGGCACATAATTATTGTACTTGCTTCTGCAGGCCCAGCTCCAGTAGTGTGGGTGGCTTCTCCAGTCCACGTGGCAGTGTGTGTAGGCTTTTGTAGATGGCTGTTCTAGCTCCAGCTCCTGCAGTAGCTCTCCCTTCTAGTCCCCTTGGGTAGTTCCATTTCAGAGTGCCTCCAGAAAGACACCACCCTGTGAATGAATGGCTTTCCCTAGGACCTGGTGGAAAGGGGGTGGGTAGAAGATTGTCAACAAATTTTGGGGGTGAGGAGGCAGGATAGATGTCAGCAAGTCCCATTGGTACAGCAAAAGGGAAACTTCACTGCCAACTCAGTGAGTCTTGCCACGCCTCTCCGACAAGCTCTAGACCTCAGCCCTATGGGGTGAGAGGTGTGTTACCTCAGCCCTCAACAAGAGGGAATACTTGTTTCTTGTATATGTAATTCCTATACACTTTTGAGCTCTTTTTACTTCTTGTTAGCTGATCTCTTGTGACGCATGGACCCTATTACAGTTAATAATTCCTTATGTTAACTTTCTTTACACACCATGGTATGGGTGCTGGCAAAGCCACACGTGCTCCCGAAGCTTGCCAGGTGAGCCCCCAAGCAAAGGCAGTACAGCCTGCTCTCCTCAGATGTCTCTCCAGCACCCCTTCCTGACAATGCCTCCTTGCCAACTGACAGAGGAAAAAGACTGAAATCAGCAGGTCTATTTTTACAAAGCAGACAATAATTGCATTTGGACCTGAGAGGCAATCAATCGAGAATGGGCAAAAACTCAGAGGTCCATCTGTGGCAGAGGAATAAAAAGTTGTGGCGGATTCATACAATGGAATGTTATGCAGGAATGAGAATGAATGAACTGATCAATATAGACGACAATGTGGCAGATACACCCATTTATATAAAAGTCAGAAATCAGCCAACTGAGTTTGGCTGTTAAAGGAACAACAGTGGTTACCTTTAGTGGTTAACCACTAAAGGTGGGGAGGGGGCGGTGGTGATGGGGAGAAGGGACCGTCTGGATGCTAGAGATGTGCTATATCCTGGTTTGGGTGCTGGTCTTTGGGTGTGTCCACTTTGTGAAAATTCTTTGAGCTGTATATTTAATGATTTATGTTAGTCTTACATATGCCTGGGTGTGCATACATTTATTTATTATAGCTAAATAAGATTTGCTTGACAAAGAGGATATTTGCACACTCAAGTTCTTTCCAGCATGATTCACAATTCTTCAGCTAATTATTATCTCCTTCTTTTAGAGGAGAAGCTCAGAAGCAGAGAACAGATATAACTTATCTAAGGCCACAGAGCCAGCAAGCCTAAAAGGCAGGATTCAAAGCCAGCCAGGCTGGCATCTGGGTACATCCTCTTGACCCTCCACTACGCTGCCTCCCCCCGCAGCCTAGATTCATGTGTCAGTCAAAGTGAGGCTGGGCCCACTAACTGGATAGAGATGTGCTTTGCCCACTGTAGCCACCCTCTGGCGAGGAAACCTGGCTGGGAAAGCTGGCTGCCTTGTATTCTACAGTTGAAAAATCAGGCCATAGAGGTCTGGGCAACCATGTCATGCCCAACTGGCAGGGACTGTTTGAGCCTGATCTAGCCCAAGCCTTTGCAAAACCCATCTACCGAGACACCCACTGATGGGCATGACTGGTTTTCTTGGTGCCAGCATTTTTCAGAGAAGTAGTCCTTCTAGCTCCTATTGGCTCAGCTGAGTTTACATGTAAGAAGACAGGTCAGGGCACTGTTTCAAGGCTAAGCCCCAAAACCGTGGAAGGCAGGAGACAGCTGATATAACCAGTCCAGGTTCTCCTGACACAAGCTCTCAGGCTGGCTCCACAGAGGAACAGCTCCTCAAAGCGTTGGGAACATGATTATCCTGGGGCTGGCACTTCTGGGCAGCTTTTTTGTAGGTGTCTTCCTCTGGGCTGTCCTTCAACACTTCCTCACAGCAGACATCCCCTCTACGTTGCAAAATCCCGCCAAGTTCAGATTTCTGCACTGCATGTTCCTGTACATATTCATTTTGGTGAGTTCGCTCTCAGGCTCTGTAATGGGTTGGGGCTCCCTTCCTCTCCCCCTGTACCTTGCCCCTCCTTTCCTCTTCAGACTCTCCCAAGGCAGCCTTTGCCACACTCTCTTTTGTGTCTGTGGTTCTGTTTCCCTTCCTCTTCCCTTCCTCTCTCCCACCTGCCCCCATTTCCTTCCTTCCAACCTCACTTACTGAGTGCCCATCCCTGGGCTGCTTTCTGAGGATTCGAAAAGGATTTCAGACCCAGTCCCTTACTTCAGAGGGCTTTCAGCCTACCAGGGAATGAACTGGCTTCAGCCACAGCATCTTTTGACCTTGATGCCCTTAATCGCCTATAGGTCTTCTCTCCCCCGCATAGAGTGTAGGTTCCTTGAAAGCAGGGACAGCCTTATCGACCTTTGCAACCCTGGCCATAAGCACAGACCTGCCGCCTAGTAGGTGCTTTCCATTTGCTGATCAAATCATAAGTGAATTCACCCAGCATGTCAGAGTGGCCATGCCGGCCAGGCTCTGAGCCGGGACCAGAGGTGTGGACAGGCCAGTCTGTGCCTAGAGCTGCAGCATCTGGTAGGAGACAGCCCACTGGATTTAACCCCAATATCCTAATACTGGGGGACAACAGCCAAATAGTTCATGCTGCTTACCCGGCGGGAGGTGCAGAGGTAGAGCAACTGTAGAAAGAGGAGGACAGAGGCCTCAGTAAGGAGCCGAGGCTGCCACCAGCCTGCCAGTGTGTGCATCCCAGCCCTGGCTATGGGATCTTGGGTCATGTACTTAACCTTTCTGTGTGTGCTTCCTCACCTGTGAAAGGGAAACAACAGTGTCCATCTCATGAGGTTGGTGAAAGACTTAGACGAAGTCATTAGGGCTCACTGTGTTTGGTGAAGAAGTAAAATATCTCTCTGTGCTACTGGAATGTTCCACTGTGGATATGCATGACTCTCTGAGATATGCAAAAGTCTAGTTTATAATTACAGAAATGCTACTGGCTCCAGGAAGACAGGCTGAGCGCGCAAAGCTCTCATCCCTCTTATTTACCCTGGCCATGCACTTCGCCTGTCTCAGACCAGTGGGTGATTTCACATGGAACTACAGGGTAATGTGAGACCCAGGAAAGTCCAGATCTTTCCAACCTTCAGTATTTTTTCAAGAGTCGCTCACAAGCTGCCAGCCCTGCTGATGACCGCCGCGCGGGGGCGCTCGCAACACGGGCAGTGATAGACCTTGGAAGTAACACAGCCAGTTATGTTGCCAGCAAGAGGGGCTTATCCAGGAAGAGCAGAAGAATTGCAGTGGGGGACATCCAAGTCATGGCAAACCACAGACAAATCCAGAGATCAGAGGAGAGAAACCCTTCTTTACCGAGAAACAGAGGAGGGGAAGGGCGGCTTTGAGCGAAAGTCCCTTGGAGGAAAGATGGAGGCCCGGGCTGGGATCACTTCTCATTGGCTGAGTCGTGGTATCTTCTTATTGGCTGAGCTTGTTGCTAGGTGAGGAGAAGTTCTTCCTCCTGTTGGAGGAGCAAAGCAGGCTTCTTCTATGGGACGTTGAGCTAAGTCTTCCCAAGGGTCTGCAATGGACTGCACCTCCCGAGGGCTCCCCCTGCTGGCTTCCCCCTGCATCTTCCCAGAAGTTTCCGTGCCCGGTTTTCACAGATCTGAAGACACTTGGGACATCCCATCCTGGGCCCTCCAGCACTGGCCCCAGGACACACTGCCCATCACGGCGTGCTGCTGATGAAGAAAACGATGCCCAAGTAGTTAGGGTTCATTCAGTTCTGGAAGACAAACAGGTACAGGAGGAATAAGAAATGTAAAGAGCAGGAGGAAAAGCCTAAAAAGATTTTATGGCCCAGAAATCAGGTGCCTTCTTTTGGTGTCAGACAACCCTTGGTCTGAGCCCCAAGTTTCCCACTTGTTAGCTTTGTGGCCCGATGTCTTTGAGCCTCCATTTTTTTTCCTTTGAAAAATGAGGATAGCAAGAGATGCTTTTTTATAGGGGTGATGAGGGGATTGAATGGGAAATGCATTATCAGGTGAGCGGCACAGTGATGGGCACACAGAAAGGGCTCAGTGTAAGTAGATTATTGGTAGTATACATGTCAAGTCCCTGAAGGCAGAGACAGAGCACTTCCTGAAATTATTCTGTAATAATTTTGCAGTTTTACTAAAAGATTTAAAGAACAATATAACAAGCATTATGGATTTTATTTTAAAGGCGAAATACTGCTAGAATATTTTGTGAAAGTGTTTCAATCTCTGTCTAAAGTTCTGGACCTCAGATGTCCCTAACCTGCTGATGCTCCCATTTATACTACTACTGATACATTATTAGAAATTTTATAATATGGGCGCCTGGGTGGCTCAGTGGGTTAAACCTCTGCCTTCAGCTCAGGTCATGATCTCAGGGTCCTGGGATTGGGTCTCAGCGGGGAGCCTGCTTCCCTCTATCTCTCTGCCTGGCTCTCTGCCTACTTGTGATCTCTTTCTGTCAAGGAAATAAATAAAATCTTTTAAAAAAAGAAATTTTATAATATATCTATAGTAATATGATATTGATGTGATGATGATAATATTTACATACAAGCAATATATTTATTATAGTTATCTATACATGATACAGTTATATTATAAGTATTAATTTTTCTTCCCTTGCCTTTGTCCTACATTACCAGCTCTGGAAACTATGGACTCACGGTTGGAAAAACCACACCAAACCAAATCTAACCTGGCCATATCTAGTGACTTTGAGAAGGTCATGCTAAGAAAGGCTTGTCATCACACTGTCTTGTTCAAATTCCCTGAAACATTTACTCTTCTAGATGTTGGAGGCAAAAAGATGAATGAGATGTGATGTCAAGCAAAATGCTGACAAGAAGCATTCAGTCTGGGTGCGGGGGGAGACATATGGGTGGCCATAGCATGTAATATAACCTTGAGGGTCTCTGAAGAAACCTTATGGCTTAGAAAACTTAGGGCACTCAAGGAGACAGCAGCCTTCAGTGTGAGTGGGAGGGATGACATCAGTCAATGAGAATGTGGTCTTGAGCTTGGAGCTGAAGGACAGTTTCACATCCATCTACCTAGTGGGCAGGTAGAAGGGCTCCAGGATACCATGTGAGCCATGGATGAGTACAGGGAGTTTGAGGAAACTGCTGGGGAGGAGACAGGCATTGGAGCCCACTTGAACTGAGAGGAAGTGTCCTGATGCTCAGAGCTGAGTTGGCTGGTGAAGTTCCAAGCTGTCTCGATACAGACATCTGGTGCCCTGAGATGGGGGTCAAGCTCACCTCGTTCTCCAGTTGAAGCAGGGAAATAATGGTTTTGTTTGGAGTTCTCTTTCAAGAAATCGAAGCCTTGGGGAATGCATTGGGATATCCCAGAGGACCTGGGACAAGACACAGTGGGTGTGAGCAAGAGAAGGGGTGGCGCTCATACTTGCCAGGACCCACCAGGGAGACACTCCACATAGTGGTCACATCTAATTCCCAAGTCTCATCCTTGGGCTATGGACACCATTTTATTTTATAAATGAGGGAAATGGAAGCTCAGAGAAGGTAATGGCCAAGGCCATTCAGCTAGGTGGTGATAAGCTAAAACTCGAGTTCAGATTTGCTTGACTCCAGAATCCAAGCTCTTTCTACTTTAGTGGTTTAGAACACATGTTCTGTATCTTACCCGTTGCGGGCAAGGCACTTGACTTTGGTTTGCCTCAGTTTCCCCCATCCATAAAATGGAGCTAATAACTGTGCTTGACTCAGAAGTGTCGCTGAGAGGCTTAATCTGGTTCATAACCACCTGGTGTGCTGTATGTGACTCATAAGTGTTAGCTGTTCTTATTTTATTATTATCATCTCATGTTGTTTTTCTTATGACAACGACACGTGTTTAATGTGAGCTCCTTGGAAGAGTTGATCCAAAATGGTTGGAAAGCATTTTGTACATGCAATATTACTTGTAACTATACTTCATGATATATATTGACATTTGTTTATAGCTAGAGTGACCATATTAGTTTAAAAACAGTGGAATTCTATGCACATGTGTCAAATGAATGGCCTTGTGCCATTGCCCCCTCCTCCTGAGTCAACAGCAGACGTCCCTAATGGTTACTGTCTTCTGTTGAACACAAACATGGATTAAGAATCCATCATAACCCAAGGGCAATGGCAGCTGCAGACCAAGGTGATGACCCTTTTTGCCATCTGAGGCTGGAGAGCCGAAGAGGAGGGTTGCCAGCCAGTTACCTAGGACAACTGGCTTTGTTCAAGTCAGTGACCAACATCTCAGCCCAAACGTGGTTGAGCTTTTTGGCAAACTCCTACCATTATTCAATCAAAGACTTTTGGGAGGACATTCTGAAAACCAAGCCCTCCCTCTGGACACAACCTAGAGCCTGTCCTTCCTGATGGGCCCAGTGTCCATGTGGATGAGGTAAATGAGAGATTGCAAAGACATCCTCACAATTATAGGTGACAGGTGTCATCACAATCCAGATGGGTCCTGACCTCTCCTACGGTTTCCCTCTTTCTCTTACCTCCAACAGGCGGAAATATTTGAGAAGTTGGGAATTTGCTCCATGCTCAGATTTCTCAAATTATTGCAAGCTTGTGTGAGAATAAAGAAAGACGATAGACTTACGGTAACTGACCTGTATTTTGGGACCATACCTGTGAGGCTGTTCCAGCCCAAGGCAGCGTCTTCTGGCCCCCGGCGAGGCATCATCTTCTTCCCCGGAGGAGGCGGGTTCTTGGGGAGCCTGGGTAAGAAGAACTTCATCTATGTGCACAGATTTGACCACCCTTCCCATGAGAACCTTTTTGGAATAACTTAAAGGAATCAGCAGTTGGGGATTTTTATAGGGAGCCCAGACTAAGGGCTCTGGGCTCACGTCAGCAGATGGTGTGCGTATCTATATAGAAGGTGTTCTTTTCTGTATTGTAATAGTTCTCGGTCAAGGTGAGGCTAGTGCTGTGTCTCAGTCGGGCTTTCACGGACGGCACTGGGGTATTGCTTCCTCTTTCTCTCACCACTCACTGACACCACTGGCTCTTCCTAGCTGTTCTCCCACACTGCATCCCAAACCCATGCATTTCTCCTGAGCTCTGAACCCCACCATGATCCAAGACCCCATCTTCTCTTGCCTGCCCCCTTGACCCTCTTGCTTCTCCTGTTGCTTCTCAGTCCATTCCTCGCCTGGCAGCCAGAAAGAGCTTTTAAGGAAATAAAAGCCAGAGCTTCCAAGGCCTGTGCCAAACCCTGCTGGTTGCTCTCCAGTGCCCTTAGATGGAACCAAGCTCTCAGGCTCTGATAGCTTTGGAGGCCCCTGCCCACCTTTCCGACCAGGTTCCCTGGGTCTGTCTCCTCCCAAAGCAGTTCCCTGCAGCCGCACACACTCCCGGCTCCTCCTAACTCTGAATCCTCTGCACTTGCTGTCTGGGCCTCCCCAAAAGCTGTCTCGCCCCTCCTGGCTTTGCTTCACTGGCGGGTCCTTGTTGTCCTTCCAGTCCCTCCTCAGAGCTGCTTCCCTGAACACCTTACCTAAGGAACCATCCCTTAAGAGTGCTATGCCCCTGTCTCCATCCCTGACATCATCCCTTTACGTTTTCTTCATGGCACTTGTCACCGTCTGAATTTATCTGGTTCCTTCTCATGCTTCCTTATTTACGGTCCCTCTTCTGCACCTAAAAATGGAAACTCCAAGCGTACCTGGAAGACTTGTGTTTTCTTTTCTGTCTCCTCCCCAATGCCTTGCCTGTGGCTTTACATTTTCTAATGACTCTCTGGGTGCATGAATATGGAATATGGATGGGTGGATAATCAGGTGAAAGGATGTGTTCATGAATGAACACGCAAATGGATGGACAGAAGGATGGACAGATGGTTGGACGCCAGCGAGGTCCCTGGAATTAGGGTGTACTGCCACCTGGTGGTGGAAATAACAACAGCCTCATTTGCTACCAAGATGCTCTCCTCCTTCAGAGGTCCACGATGGTTATCTCCCACCTACCCGCCCCAAGACAGTTCTTCCCTTTCAGAGGCCTCCAGGAGCACCCCATTAGGGGGTTAGGCCTGTTAGCCTTCCTCCGTGGGCCACGATGTTATTTCTAAAAGTAAAGCCAGGACGCATTCAGCAAATATTCCCTGAGTATTTACCTACCTTGTGTCAGACTCTCTTCCAGGTCTAGGGGACCGAGTGGAGAACAAGGAAGACCCTCATGGAGCCTACTCAAATGAGGAGGCTGGGCAGTGAAAGAGAAAACGAACAAGTTAGGGTCATTTCACAGAGTGAGAGCACAAGGAGATGGAATAGAGAATGATTTAGATGCATCGTTAGTCTTTCCTGACAAAACCTCTCCAAAAAGTAAAATTTGAGCCAGGCCCAAGCAACCAATGAGTAAGATCCGGCCCTACAGAGGCTGGGAAACACCCTCTGGGGACCGGGGAGGCAAGAGAGTCTGGGGTGGGGGGCTCTATCTTGAAAGGGGCACCGAGAAACACAGTCTTCAAGATTAATAATATTTTTTTGCAGGTTATTCAAAAATTCAATAATAATGCAAAAAAAAAAAAGTCCTATGATGAACACACGGTCAGCGTTCATCGAGTGGTGGGATCCAACGGGGGTGGGTGAATTGTACAAAGGCAAGGCAGGCTCTCGTCTACTTGAGATTGTCATAGGGAAATCCGTTCATCATGGATCCTGGTGGCATTTACTTGGATTCCCTAAAGCAGTATTTACGTTGGTTGCTGAGCCTCTCAGCGCCCAGGGCAGGTGCCTCCCTCGCCTCCTGCCCTGTTGGGTCTACACGGAAGGGAGCGCAAGCACAAAGCCCGAAACAGGGGCTTGAGGGAAAGGAAGTAATGTCCCAGGGAGGCAAAGCAGGGAAGCGGGGGAAATGGCGTGGGGAGGGCCAGCCGTCGTCTCCACACAGGCTGTGCTTTGAAACCCACCCCCTGTCCCGCCTCCGGGGTGTTTTAGAGTCATCTCCACACCCAGGTCCTGCCCAGGCCGCTGTCCAGCTCAGCAGTGGGGCCCAGGCATCAGCATTTTTAAAAAAGCTCCCAGGTGATGCTGATCTGCGAGCAGGGTGGAGGCCTCCTTAGGAGCTGCTTGCTCCCCAATCCAATGTGACTTCTCCTCCATCACCTCCCCTGAGCGGTGTCAATGAAGCCTGCACCCCCTGACCCCCTCGCCCCCCCCAACCCATCACTTCTCTCAGTCAGATCAGTCATTCCCAACTTCCCGGTTGTTGGCCTCATGGGCGTGATCTGGGAGCTTCTGCTGCTCGTTCCCCAGCCCCAGAGACACTAGTTTGGTTGGTTTGGGGCTCCGCCTGGGCATCAGGACTTGGAAAAACCCTCTGGTACAACTATGCAGAACCAAGGGGGACCCCCACTGAATTAGAGGCTTATGTGGTACATATATGGTCTGGCACTGTGCCAGCCTGGCTCATGTACTGTTGAGAATGGACTTGTCCTCTGAGAACCTCAGAGGTACCACTCGGCTAATAGCAATGGCCCATCCCTCCATTGCTTATTTCTTAGTAACACATATCTGTATGTACATGTGTGTAATTATCATTAACATTCTAGGGCAGGCCTACCTCCCTTCCCTGGTCTTGGTCCTCCCTGGGCCTCAGTCCCCACCCCTCCACCCCCACTGTAAAAGGAAATGTTGCAGCTGGTGAGTCCCTGAGGTGTATCCGAGCCCCAACATCTAGGAACCAGGGGCAGATGTCACGTGTCTGATATGTGGCCTGGTTTTTGGTTTTGCCCAGGCAGAGCCACCCAGAGTCACTGCAGAGGAGGCAAGAACAGGGACAGAAAGAGAACATCACACCCAAAGCTGAAAACTGACAGGACTGACAGGCTCTGCCTGAGGTCCCAGGAAGGGGTGGAGGTGGGGGTGGGCAGGGATGACATCCCTAGAGGCCACTCAGGGTGGCTGCTGCTGTGACCAGTTCTACTCTTGCAGACCTCTTCCATAGCCTGAGCAGTTTGCTGGTCCTGGAGACGGACTCCGTGCTGCTGTTGGTTGGGTGAGTTGCTGTAGAAAGTCAGTGGGGGTCACAGGGGTGGGAGAAGGCAGGCATGAGCACGTGGCTGGTTTGTAGAAGAGAGAGAGAGAGAGAGACCCTAACCCCAAGAGGCACTCTTGCACGTGCACGCACGGACCCAGGCACGGCACTGTTCAAAAGGGCGAAAACCCAAAAACAACCCAAACGCCCATCAACACAGAGTGCATGAAAAACCATGGCAAGAAGCAAGTGTGGGCGAGGGTGGGGAGAAAAAAGAGCCCTTCCAGACTGTTGTGCGCAGCCACTGTGGAAGACAGTGTGGAGGTTACTGAAAAAAAAAAAAAAATAGAACTACCCCATGATCTGGTCATTGTACTCCTGGGTATTTACCCAAGGAATAGGAAAACACTAATTTGAAAAGATATATGTGCCCTTGTGTTTATTGCAACATTATCTACAAGAGCCAAATTATGGAAGCAACCTTAAGAGTCCATCAAGAGGTGAATGGATAAAGATGTGAGATATATATATATATTTTTTTTCTTTTTTCAACCATAAAAAAGAATGACATCTTTTTTAACTTTTAACTTCTTTTAATCAGTGATTCCTCACTTACATACAACACCCAGTGCTCATCATAAGTGCCCTCCTTAATACCCATCACCCAATTACCCCATCCCCCTACCCACCTCCCTCCATCAACCCTCAGTCTGTTCTCTATCATTGAGTCTCTTATGGCTTGCCTCCCTCTCTCTAAAAAGAATGAAATCTTGCCATTTGCAACAACATGGATGGAGCTAGAGAGTAATGCTAAGGGATAGAAGCCAGAGAAAGAGAAATACCATATGACTTCAATCACATGTAGAATTTAAGAAGCAAAACAAGTGAACAATGGAAAAAAAGAGACAGATCAAAAAACAGACTCTTTTCTCCTTTTTTTTTTAAGTGATTATTTAAATTCCAGTTAGTTAACGTACATACATAACTAACATCCAGTTAGTTAACCTAGTACAGTACAATGTACTATTAGTTTCCGGTGTACAATATAATGACTTAACACTTCCACACGTCACCAGGTGCTCATCACCACAGGGGCACTCTTTAATTCTTGTCCCCTATTTCCCCCATCCTCCTCCCCTCTGGTAACCATTAGTTTGTTCTCTGTAAGTAAGAGTCTGTTTCTGTTTGCCTCTCTCTCTTTCCCCCCCTTTGCTCATTTGTTTTGTTGCTTAAATTCCACATGAGTGAAATCACATGGTATTTGTCTTTCTCTGACTGACTTATTTCACTTAGCATCCATCCATGGATGCTAGCTCCATCCATGTCATTGAAAATGGCAAGATTTCCTTCCTTTTTAAGGCTGAGTAATATACTGCTGTGTATATACACCACATCTTCTTTATGCATTCATCAGTGGATGGACATTTGGGATCCCTTCCATAGTTTGGCTATTGTAGATACTGCTGCTTTAAATATTGCAGGTGCATGTACCCCCTTTGAATCTGCATTTTTATATCCTTTGGGTAAATACCTAGTAGTGCACTTGCTGGATCATAGGGTTGTTCTATTTTTAACTGTTTGAGGAAACTTCAAACTGTTCTCAGAACGGCTAAACCAGTTCCCATTCCCACGAACATTGGAGCAGGATTCCCCCTTCTCCATGTCCTCACCAACACCTATTATTTCTTGTGTTGTTCATTTCAGCCATTCTGACGTGAGTCGGTATCTCATCGTGGTTTTGATTTGTATTTCCCTGATGATGAGTGATGTTGAGCATGTATTCATGTGTCTGTAAGCATTCTGGATGTCTTCCTTGGGAAAGTGTCTGTTCATGTCTTCTGCCCATTTCTTAACTGGATTATTTGTATTTTGGGATGCTGAGTTTGATAAGTTCTTTATACATTTTGGATACTAACCCTTTATCAGATATGTTGTTTGCATATACTTTCTTCCATTCTGTAGGCTGCCTTTTAGTTCTGTTGATTATTTCCTTCACTGTTCAGGAGCTTTTTATCTTGATTAAGTTCCAATAGTTCATTTTTGCTTTTGTTTCCCTTGCCTCCCATGATATGTCTAGTAAGAATTTGCTGTGGCTGAGGTCAAAGAGGTTGCTGTCTGTGTTCTGCTCTAGGATTTTGACAATTTCCTGTATCATGTTTAGGTCTTTCACCCATTTTGAACTTATGTTTGTGTGTGGTGTAAGAAAGTGGTCCAGTTTCATTCTTCTGCATATGGCTGTTCAGTTTTCCCAACACCATTTGTTGAAGAGACTGTCTTTTTTTCCCATTGGATATTCTTTACTGCTTTGTTGAAGATGAGCTGGCCATAGAGTTGTGGGTTCATTTCTGGGTTCTCTATTCTGTTCCATTGATCTGTGTGTCTGTTTTTGTGTCAGTACCATACTGTCTTGATGAATAGGGCTTCGTAATAAAGCCTGAAGTCTGGAATTGTGATGGCACCAGCTTTCCTTTCTTTTTCAAGATTGTTTTGGCTATTCTGGGTCTTTTGTGGTTCCACACAAATTTTAGGATTGTTTGTTCTAGCTCTGTGAGAACTGTTGGTGTTTTGATAAATTACATTAACTGTGGAGATTGCTTTGTGTAGTTTAGACATTTTAACAATGTTTATTCTTCCAATCCATGAGCATGGAATGCTTTTCCATTTCTTTGTGTCCTCTTCAATTTCTTTCATGAGTGTTTTATAGTTTTCAGAGGACAGATCTTTTACCTCTTTAGTTAGGCTTAGTTAGTTATCTTATTGTCTGTGGTGCAATTGAAAATGGGCTTGATTCCCTTTTCTGTTGCTTCCTTATTGGTGTATAGAAATGCAACAGATTTCTGCACATTGATTTTATATTCTGCAACTTTGCTGAATTCATGTATTAGTTCTAGCAATTTTTGATGGAGTCTTTCAGGTTTTATACATAGAGTATCATGTCATCTGCAAACAGTGAAAGTTTAACTTCTTCCTTGACAATTTTGAGGCCTTTTATTTCTTTTTCTTGTCTGACTGCTGAGGCTAAGACTTCCAGTACTATGTCAAATAGTAATGGGGAAGGTGACATTCCTGTCTTGTTCCTGACTGTAGGGGAAAGGCTCTCAGTTTTTCCATTGAGCGTGATATTAGCTGTGGGTCTTTCATATATGGCCTTTATGATGTTGAGATACGTTCCCTCTATCTCTACTCTGTTGAGGGTTTTTATCAAGAAAGGATACTGTATTTCGCCAGATGCTTTTTCTACATCTATTGACAGGATCATGTGGTTCTTATCCTTTCTCTTACTAATATTACATAACTATTTAAAAAATGAACTGGGAGGACACCCCAGAATGTGAATGCATCTTAGCAGTATAAAATTAAGTGAACAGTTTTTTTTAAGTTACATAAAGCCTGAGACTCTTTTTATCAAGTTAAAGGCAAAATCAAAAGAATATTTGTAAGGAATATGTATAGACATTATAAAACTATGTTAAAAGGAGAGAAAAGGGATGATGGATACAGGATTCAAGGTAACTGTTCTCTCAGATGGGGAAAGCAGTGAGATAAGATGCTGGTGGGGATATTACAGGGTTGGTTGAAGGTTATGGTCAAGGTCCTGGCTGTTGTTTGGGGTGATGGTTCTGCACATATTTATTGTGTTGTCAAAACAACTAACTAACTGCAGGGTAAATGCCAGGAATGTCTCAAGACACAAGAAGACACTGGGCAACAGTTTCAAGAAGGCAAGTGAAAGAAACTAAAAACTGCTCTTTTAGATTCAACCTCTACACTCAAGGCCTTTCAAATCTTGGCTGTCCCCAGGCTGAGTAGACAGTGCATCTGTGTGTCTTAAAGCAATTTATAGAACACCTCTGGTCTTCTTCATGAGATTGAGGAAGGCAATGTCTTTCCAGTACTCGACATACTTCCTGACCAGCTCAGCATTGTGTCCTAAAATCCCGTTGATAAGAGTTTCTGTCAGAATCTACATCTGAGAAGAACTTTGTGGTAATGAAAATACTCCTTGAACACATAAAAGTGTTAAGGAACACATGCATGAAAAACTTGCAGGAAATTGCTTAGGATACTGTTATTCTGGATAGTTGAAAAGACCCACGGGGTGCCTGGGCGGCACAATCCATTAAGCATCTGACTCTTGATTTCAGCTCAGGTGATGATCTCAGGGTTGTGAGATCAAGCCCCATGTTGGGCTCTGTGCTGAGCATGGAACCTGCTTAAGATTCTCTCTCCTTCTCCCTCTGCCTCTCCCGCTGTTGCTCTCATGATCTCTCTCTCTCAAAAAAGGATTTCCTTCCTTCTCATGGCCATATAATATTTTATTGTGGTGTACACATCTAGAAGTTCATTTTAAAGTCCTTTCTCTTTGCCCTTGAACTCCTATGAAGGGATACACTCTGGGGGTTTACTCAGAGCAGCCCTCTGGATGCTCGCCATAGCCAGAACAGTGTCTGTTTCCTGCCTGCCCACCTTTCCTCACCTTCACCCTCATGGTGCCTTCCAACCTGCTCCCTTTTCCCCAAACCCTGAAGGAAAGACAGCTACTTGAGTCATTAGTAAGAACAAACCTTGGTCATTAGATTTCTGAAGGAAAAATAAAATTCTTCCTGAAAGAAACTTCCCCTTTATTTTTTAAAGATTTTATTTGATTTTATATGACAGAGAGAGAGAGAGATCACAAGTAGGAAGAGCAGCAGGCAGAGAGAGACGGGGAAGCAGGATCCCTGCTGAGCAGAGAGCCTGATGCGGGGTTCCCAGGACCCTGAGATCATGACCTGAGCTGAAGGCACAGCCTTATCCCACTGAGCCACCCAGGCACCCCAAGAAACTTACCCTTTATTTGAGCTTTAGTTCCCTCAGCCCTTCCTCTCCAGATAGCCAGTGGGACGAACAGCAACTTCCTTTGCCTTTCCTGGCATTACTGGTTGTTTTGCTTCCACTTCAAATAGCTTTTGAGTTGCATAATTTTGTGTGGGGTGTGTGCGTCTCCTGGCAGCAGAAGGAGCCTAGTGTTGGAGTCAAGAATCCCTGCCTCGAAGACAAAGGTGAGGCTCTTCACATCCTCACCTCCATAAAAGGGAGATAAAAATCCCTTCCTATCAGGGCCATTCTCAGGGATTTAGTCAGAGACAGTACTGCAAGGAGGAGTCGAGGACACAGGTAAAATGGCTCCCAGCAGCTGTTCACACCGCTATGCTTTTTTTCCCTGCTTGCTTCTCAGGTACCGAAAGCTTCCTGATCACCATTACCCCAGCATTTACCAAGACTGTCTGAACGCCTCCATTCACTTCCTGAAGGCCCTGAAAACCTATGGGGTGGACCCCTCCCGCGTTGTGTTCTGTGGAGATAGCATTGGGGGAGGGCATGTGGCCTCTATCACCCAGGCTCTGGTGGGCAGATCGGATCTTCCCCAGATCAGGGCCCAGGTCTTGATTTATCCAGTTACCCAGATCATCAATTTGCAGCTGCCGTCCCACTTGCAGAACCGAAATGTCCCGTTCCTCTCCCAGAAGTTCATGATGATATATATGTTCAAATATATGGTTATCGACTTTCACTGGTGGGACGCCATCTTGGGCGGTGCTTTCATACCCCCGGAAGTCTGGAGAAAGTACCGGAAGTGGCTCAGTGCGGACAACATTCCCAGCAGATTCAGAAAGCCAGGCTACCAACCTCTGTTTCCCGGCCCTTTTAATGAGGCTGCCTACCTGGAAAACAAACATCTTTTCGACATAGAAAATGCCCCTCTGCTCGGGGATGATGAGACCATCGCTCAGCTTCCTGCAGCCTTTGTGGTAAGCTGTGAGCATGACATCCTCCGCGATGACGCGTTGCTCTATATGAAGCGGTTGGAGGACCAGGGGGTCCCCGTGACGTGGTGTCACGTGGAAGATGGCTTTCATGGGTCCTTGATATTTTTTGATAAGAAGTTTTTCTCTTTCCCATGCTCCCTGAAAATTACAAATGCTGTCATCAGTTATATAAAAAGCATATAGTAACCCTGGGGCTCCAGTGTCCTTTGGTGAATTCTCTTTTGCTGATTAAGGAGATGCTCAGTCAATGCTCCGCCCACACAAGAAGGATAAGGAGCCTCGGAACAGTCTTGCTTAGTACCTAAGAAAATCCAAAATGTTGCTTTTTCTTTCTGGCACCAACAGTGGTTAATCCTGGATCTAGCAATACTCGCCAACATTCTCACTCAGGTGAAATACATATCAAATAGAGGGGAAAAAAGGTCTTTAAAAATTTCTCAAAGCCCTAACACACAACCTCTGTGTAGAGTGAATGCCAACAGTTGGTCATACTGTCGCTGGTGAGTCTGTACTCAGGACGCTAAAGCTAAAGCCCAGCTTGGGGTCATGCTGCCTGTTAGAGGAGGGGACACCTAATTGTTCTTGGGGTCAGAGGTCACCAGTGAAATTCCAACAGACTGGTTCCAGATTAGTCTCCAGTCAGAGAATTGCTGTTGCAGTAGAACTCTTGCTCAAGTCAGCCATCCATTGGCTGGACTAAAGGCAGATTTCAGGGGAGGTGATTGGAAAAAGAGATGGGAAAGAGGGAAGAGAGAGCCCATGTGGGAAAGAATGGGCTCTGGTGGGCTATGGATGTTGTCTGGGCTCACATCTTTAATCTGAATTTCAAAATCAGATCCCTGGCTACCAAGAGGGAACCTCTGGATGCCATTCTGTCTTGGGAACCTCTGGGTGCCATCTGAATCTGCAAACTGCATTCTCAAAGACAGACACCTTACTATACCCTCTTTCTCTGGTGATCTTATGTATCATTCCCACTTTTACAAAGAAACTTGCCCTAAGGGTGCCTGGCCAGCTCTGTTGGTAGAACCTACGACTCTTGATCTTGGGGCTGTGAGTTTGAGCCCCATGCTGTGTGTAGAGATTATTTTTAAAAAATAAAATCTTAAAAAAAAAGAAAAGATTTTTTGGTCTTTGCTTAGCCCATACCACTTTCTCTGCTCACAGTGAAAGGGAAGAGAATCTTGATACTGAATGCCAGCGCAGCCCACATTAGTTTTTACATGGGCCCATGTTTGTTAGATACTTCTCTAATAACACCGAGCCTCACTGCTGTCTACATCCATGCAAGTGCTGGAGATGGAGGTTTTCCTTCTCTTGGTACCAAGGACCTCACCTATGATCAGTGGAAGAGGGGTCTTACAGGTGTCTTGGATCCTTGCAAAGAAAGCCAATACCTACACAGGGAGTTTGGATTGGGCTTCTCAGGACATGGGTAGGCATCATGATTCATGTGTTATATGCGAGCAGCTTTGATGGAAGAGTGTGTTAATTACCATTCCTGGATGATGACTTTACAGTAAACTTAATGGCTTAAAATAATACACATTTATTATTTCACAGTTCCTGTGGATCTGGAGTCCGAGAACAGCTTACCTATAATCGAGGTGTGGGGCTGTAGTCTCATTCGAGTCTTGACTTCCAAACTCAGGTCATTGGCAGAATTCAGTTTCTTGAGGTTGTAGACTGAGGACTTCAGTTCTTTTCTAGCCAGAAGTCACCCCTATACTCTAGAAGCCACTTATAGTTTCTTGTCATTTGAGATACCCAAATGACTGCTTACTTTCTTCAAGTGACTAAGGGAGAGACAGAGTCCAGCAAGATGGCCACTAAAATCTAAAGTACTTACAAACATGTGATCACATATATGTCATCACCTTTGCCATATTCTGTTAGTAACAAATTGCTGGTCTTGCCCATACAAGGGGATCATACAAGTGTGTGAATGTCAGGGCATGGAGACCATGGGGACCACCATAGTCTGTTCACCACCAAAGGTCTCACCAGAAGATTATTAATTAAAAAAATAATCGTGGAGACAAATGCAAATGAAAACACAATGGTCCAAAATCTTTGGGATGCAGCAAAAGCTGTTCTGAGAGGGAAGTTTATAGCAATACAGGACTACCCCCAAGAAGCAAGAAAAATCTCAAATAAAACCCCTAACCTTATACCTAGAGGAGCTAGAAAAAGAACAAACAAAATCCCAAATCAGTAGAAGGAAGGAAATAATAAAGATTAGAGCAGAGATAAATAAAATAGAACCCTCCCCTCAAAAAGCAAACAAACAGTAGAATAGATCAATGGAACCGGAGGTGGTTTTTTGAAAAAAAAAAAAAAAAATTGATAAACATTTAGCCAGACTCAGAGAGAGAGAAAGAGAGAGAGAGAGAGAGAGAGAAAGAAAAAACTAAAACACAATAAAAAATGAAAGCAGGGAAATAACAACAAATATTATAGAAACATAAAGGATTGTAAGAGAATATTATGAAAAATTTTATGCCAACAAATTAAACAGTATAAAAGAAATAAATAAATTCCTAGAAACATGAATCAGGAAGAAACAGGAAATTTGAACAGATCAGTTACCAGCAATGAAATTGCATCATAAACAAACAAACAAACAAAAACTCCCAATAAACAAAAGTCCAGGATCACAGGTGAATTCTACCAACATTTAAAGAGAGTTAATACCTGTTCTTCTCAAACTATTCAAAAAAAAAAAAAAAAAGGAAAGGAAGGAAAACTTTCAAATTCATTCTATGAGGCCAGCATTTTCCTGATACCAAAACCAGATAAAGATGTGACCAAAAAAGGGAACTACAGGTCAGTATCTCTTGATGAACATAGATGCAAAAATCCTCAACAAAATATTAACAAGCCAAATCCAACAATATATTAAAAAAATAATTCACCATGTTCAAATGAGATTTATCCCTGGAATGGAAGTGTAGCTCAATATTCACAAACCAATTAACACAAGACATCACATCAATGAGAGAAAAAATAAAAACCATATAATCATTTTAATATATGCAAATATATAACATTTGGCAAAGTAAAACATTAATTCATGATAAAAGACCTCAACAAAGTAGGTCTAGAGGGAATGTACCTCAACATAATAAAAAAACCCACAGATTTGAAAAACCTACAACTAACATCACAGTCAATGGTGAAGGACTGAGAATTTTTTTCCCCTAAAATCAGGAATAAGACAGAGATGTCCACGCTTACCACTTTTGTTCAACATAGTACTGGAAATCCTAGCCACTGCAATCAGACAAGAAAAAGGAATAAAAGGCATCCAAGCTAGTAAGGAAGAAGTAAAGTTTTCACTATCTATAAATGGCATGATACTATATAGATAACCCTAAAGACTCCACCAAAAAACTAATAGAATTGATCAACTAAGTCAGTAGGGTCACAGAATGCAAAATCCATGTACAGAAATCCTTTGCGTATCTATTCCCTCATAATGAAGCAGCAGAAAGAGAAACTAAGAAAATGATTCCATTTATAATCATAACAAAAATAATAAAATACCTAGGAATGAACCTACCCAAGGAGGTAAAAGGCCAGTACTCTGAAAACTATGATATACTGATGAAAGAAATTGAAGATGACACAAACAAATGGAAAGACATTCTAAGCTCATGGATTGGAAGAACAAACATTGTTAAAATGCCCGTACACCCAAAATAATCTACACATTCAATGCAATCCCTATCAAAATACAAATAGCATTTTTCACAGAACTAGAACAAAGAATCCTCAATCCCTGAATAGCCAAAGCAATCTTGAAAAAGAAAAGCAAAGCTGGAGGCAGCCCAATTCTGGACTTGCAGTAATATTACAAAGCTGTAGTAATCAAAACTGTGCGGTACCAGCACAAAACTAGGTACATTGATCAAAAGAACAGAATAGAAAATCTAGAAATAAACCCACAGTTAATCTTTGACTAAGCAGGAAAGAATATCCAATGGGAAAAAGACAGTCTCTTCAATAAATGTGTTGGGAAAACCAGACAGCTACACACAAAAGAATGAAACTGGATCACTTTCAATATGCCTAAAAATATACTCAAAATGCATTAAAGACTGAAATGTGAGACCTGAAACCATAAAACTCCTAGAAGAGAGCACAGACACTAATTTCTCTGATGTCAGCCATAGCAGCATTTTTCTAGGTACGTCTCATGAAGCAAGGGAAATTAAAGCAAAAATAAAACTCTTGGGACTTCATCAAAATAAAAAGCTTCTTCACAGCAAAGGAAACAATCAACAAAATTTAAAGACCACCTACTGAATGGGAGAAGATATTTTCAAATGACCTATCTGATAGTTATATCCACAATATATAAAGAACTTGTAGAACTCAACACCAAAGAAACAAATAATCCACTTAAAAAGTGGGCAGAAGACATGAACAGACATTTCTCTAAAGAAGACATCCAGATGGCCAACAGACACATGAAAAGATGTTTAACATCACTCATCATCAGAGAAATGCAAATCAAAAACACAATGTGGCATCACACACATGACTAAAATAAAAAATATGAGAAACAACAGGTGTTGGTGAGAGTGTGGAGGAAAGGGAACCCTCTTGAACTGTTGGTGGGAATGGACACGAATGTAGCCACTCTGGTAAACAGTATGGAGTTTCCTCAGAAAAAACTAAAAATAGAGACACCATATGATCCAGTAGTCATATGTACTACTGGGAATTTCCCAGAATATGAAAAAATTTCATATTTATAAGAATACCAAAACACTAATTCAAAAGGATATATGCACCCCTATGTTTACAGTAGCGTTATTTACAACAGCCAAATTTGGAAGAAGCCCAAACATCCATAGATAGATGAATGGATCAAGAAGAGGTGGTATATAATGGAATTATTCAGCCAAAAAAAAAAAAGAAGGCATGAAATCTTGCCATTTGCAATAATGTGGATGGAGCTAGAGAGTATAGTGCTAAGTGAACTGAGGCAGAGAAAGACAAATAGCATGTGATTTCACTCATCTGTGGAATTTAAGAAACAAAACAAATGAATAAAGGGTGGGGCAGGAGACAAAACAAAAAACAGACTTAACAATAGAGAACAAACTGATGGTTACCAGAGGGGAGGTGGATGAAAGGATGGGGGACATAAGTGGAGGGGATTAAAAATACACTTA